TGCAGGTGCTGTGCGCATCCCTTCTGGCCGCCTCTGCCAACAAGTGAGAGAATCTGCTGCTGCAGAGAAAAGGCAGCAGATGAAACCAAATCAAGTTTCGTGCTGCAGCAGCAAAGAGAGGAGGCAGCAGCAGCAGCAGCAGCAGCAGCAGCTGCAGGAGTGTGTGTGCTGCTCTTCAGAGTGCCATTTGAAAGAGATTATGCCGTCTCATTTCAATTTGATATTTGCACTCTCTTTTAAAAAGAAAGAAATTTATTTCCTTTTCTTTTTTCTTTTAGAATGTTCTAATGCAAACAACAAGACTCGCCGCCGCGGCGGTTGACACTGGGTACCCCCAGTGGCGCCGAAAGGCAAAGGAGCTTCTTTTTGGATCTTTTTCGAAATAAATTAAATTGTTTCGACAAAAATAATAATAAAAAGACGAAGTTTTTGCAGAACAATTCAAGTTTCGCGAGTGTGGGCGCGGGAATAACGCATGCGGCACCGGCTCCCTCCCGGCTTAAGAGTGACCATCGGCCCCCCCGTTCAGTGCGCCCTTTTCAGCCAAATGCCTCTCATATTAAACGAATTAAACAAAAGAACTTCTTAAATAAATATAATTGAAAAAACTCTTCAAGGAAAGCCAAACGGCACAGCAGGGCTCTTCCAGGAACTCTGCTGGAGGCGTCACCCCTGGGCGGTGACCCTCGGGCACGGCAACGACTGCGGCCTCAACTTCATTTAATTCAATTCGTTTCTAAATAAAAATAAATGCAAAAAAATATTAAAGTAAATCAAAAACGAGTTAAGGAAGATCTGCTCGGATAAAGACGAAGTTAAACCGAATTAATTGGACGGCTGGCTCCCCCCCAGCTAGCCTTAACAGGCTAGGGAGAACGCCACAAAGAAAAGAAAGTCCCCTCAAATTATCTTTACTTTCTTTATTATTTTAAATAAAATTACAATAAAGTCCAATTTACCACAAAGCACCTCCACATGGGTTTATTTCCCCCATGAACGGACCTCATTCGTCACCCCGAAACAGCTGGCGTCTCAGCTTATTGAAAGCACTTCAGTGTGTTTGCGGCTTTTCTTTCGCTTTATTTTGCACTTATTGTGACTATTCCATTATTAATTCGTTTAGTTCTCCCTGTTGTTGTCTATTATGTTCGAGTTTGCTCCGCAGTTTCAGGAGTGTGCAAGTTTTCGCATTCTTGAATTTTGTTGCAATTCAACAAGTGCGCGCGGCCGATCCTAGTGGAATCCGCGGGGAAAGCTGCCGAAAGGGAGTTTAAAAAAGAAGAAAAGAAGATTTTAAAGTACTTGGGACTTTTTTCCCTCCATTTTCCTTCAAAAAATGCAAAAACCAACTCCGAACTTCGCCGCTCACAGCTTCCCCCCTTGAGTCGCCTGCCGAAGAGCATCTTTAACATCAGCTTTTATTCGCTGAGCCCTCGAGACATTCAAAAACATCAACTGTCCTCCTGAGTGCAGCAAATTGGGCAAGCAGCAGCATTTCGTTTGCTGCAGCAACGCGCTGCTGCTGCTGCTGCTGCTGCTGCTGTTGCTGCTGCTACTGCTGTTGCTGCTGCTGCTGCTGCTGTTTCTCCTGCTGCTGCTACTCCGAAACAGCAGCAGCAGCAGCAGCAGCAAAGCCTCGCCTTTTGAAAGAAAGAGCTGCGCAATCGGCCCACCTGGCAGCAAATAGTGCAGAGTCACCAGCAGCGCGTCTGGCCTTTTCAGGAACTGCAGCAAATTGCAAAAGATGAGCCCCGCAGCCCAAGCTGTAACCCCCAGCAGCAGCAGCAGCAGCAGCAGCAAAACAATTCATAGCAAGCAGAACGAAGCAGCAGGCAACAGCAGCCGCCCCTGCGATGGGCGCAGAGGCAGCAGCAGCAGCTGCAAACACCAGAAAGGAAGATCTTTATGCTTTTTGAGTTAAAAGAATTAAAAAGGTAAAAACCACCATTTCATCTGATTGATAAGAGTGAACAGTAGTGCTGGCAAGCGAAATCAGCCCTTCTGCCGCTGCTGTTGCTGCTGCTGCTGCTGCGGGTGGTATGTGAGCGCCGCTGGAACGCAGCAAGCAGCAACTGGTGCAGCAAAGCAGCAACTGGAGCAGCAAAGCAGCAACTGGAGCAGCAAAGCAGCAACTGGAGCAGCAACTGGTATTTTTAGATGAAATAAAACTCACAAGATCCGACAAAGGAGCTGAGTCAGTCTTAACTCCGAAGATGTCCGCAAGAATGTGAATAAAGAGCGTCAGCGCGTTCGAAGCCAGCAAGCAGTTTTCGGCTAAGTCCAAAACCACGGCGTACAGCAGCCTGCAGCAGCCCGCGGAGGAAAGCAGCGCCCAGCTGGCGGGAAAACGCGGCAAATGGGGATATAATAATTAGTAATAATTAATAATAATAAATAATAATAGTAATACTTCAATAATAGAAACGAAACAGTTCAAAAAACTCGCAAAATTCGCAGTTTTTGCTGCTTTCCGATTTTCTGAACTGCTGCTGAGCGGCGGCTTCGCGGCGTCTTGTTGGCAAACGAGGAGTAAAGGCAGAGAGAAAGGAAAGACGTTTTAAATTCTATTCAGTGAATTAAAAAGTTTTAAAATTAAAAAAGAGAATTAAACAAAAGTCTTTTGAACTCCGTGCCAACGAACTCGTCCACGCGCTTCCACAGCACGAACTTGGGAGTGCTGAACAGCGAGGAAATCGGCAGCAGCAAAACACCCTCCAGCATTCCGTTTTCAGGGCAAACGCCGCTCTCTCCCCATTGCCTGCATTTAAAAAGAACAAAATTCATAAAATTAATTTAATTAATTGAAAAAAACAAAAAAATCCAAAAAAAACAGCAATTACACCAAGAATTCAGAAAACGTGAACTGCCCATCTCAAACTCTGCTGCATCAGGCCGCAGAAAAGAAAGCAAAAAGAGGGAAAAGAAGGAGCAAATAAGAATAAAGTGTAGAGACAAAATAGACTAGGATAAAATCGAATAATATAAAACAGAATTAAAAATAAAGAGAGGTCCCAGAAGCCCGTCAAGGAAGCGCGTTCACCGTTTGCCGGGCTTTGAATCTGCACTTCTCTTGGCGCCCGCGGGCGCATGCAGCTCTTCTTGTGCAGAAATTGAATTGCTAATTAAAGCGCCGAATAAAGAAGTTCCCGCAGCTGCAGAATTTGCTGCTGCGGCCTTTTGCTGGCTGAGTTTCTCTTCGCCCGCCTGCTGCGCGCCGCGCAGGCACTGCAGCTGAAAAGAGTGGTCGTCTGCGACGCGGCGGATGATCGCCTGGGAAATCGCCGAAAAAGCGGATTAAAAGGACAAAAATGAAGAATTAAATCATTTTATTTAACCAATTTCGATGCAAATAGGTCGGATATGCGCAGTTCGGGTCCCCAGGACTCAGCAGCAACAGGAACGGCAGCAACTTGAACAGCGGCTTCCTGCCTGTGCTGCTGCCACGATCTCGCGCTCAAAACGCTTCATATGACGCAAAATTGTTCCTCTTAATTCAACTTTTGAATTATTTTGAAGGAAACTTACTTGTTGACGCACAATTCGCAGCGAGTCATTTCCCTCGGGGGTGTAAAAGATGGAAAAAACCGGCTGGGTTTGTCCCACGGCCGCCACGATCACTCCAAACACCATCAATCAAACCCCCGAAACTTCACTTTTTTTTGAATAAAAGAGACTCCAGCCAAAAACTAAGAGGGAAATCATGCAAAGAACTAAAGAAGCTCATCAGCAAATGAAAAAACTCGAAAAATCAGAGGCGGAAGGTTCCAGGATCCCAGTCTGCGGCGGAGCGCGACTGCAGCACGCCTAAAGGAGCTGTTTTTGATATTTTTAAAGTTAAATGGAACTAACTGTTCCTTTTTTTTCAATTTAAAACTCTTGAATACTCTTTTCTCTTCTTGAGAGGCAACAAGAATGAACTGCCGACACCGGGGCTGTGTGAAATGGGCATGCAAGAAAGCTGAGCGGCGGCGGCGCGTTTTGGGTCTCATTGCAGCTGCAGAAAGGCCCAATTTTCTGTTTTTTCTCTTAAGTTTATTTCAATATTTAAATTAATGACCTGTTAGAATTCATTTAATTGATTTTTATTCAGAAAACGCAGCAAAATGCGTTATAATCTGCAGCAGCAGCAGCAGCACCAGCAGCAGCAGCAGCTGCAGCCGACAGGTAGACCAGCAGCTGTCTGGGTGACCAGACGGCTGCTGCTGCTTGCTGTTGCCAATTCACTGCAGCGGCTTCTTCAGCTTCTCCTTTTATTTACTTAATTCAAAAAAATTAAAAATAAAATTTCTCTTATTTTAATCTCATTAAGCTTTGCGAATGCCTGTGCCCCGCAGCAGAGAACTGCGGGGCCATGCGGCACAGCAGCAGCAGCGGCAGCAGCAGCAGCAAGGTCGCAGCAAAAAGCCTCGTTGCGCATTCAAAAGAAAAGGAGAAGAAAGTATCTGCTTTTCCAAAGTAATTAAACAGTATAACTAAATTAAAAAAAAATAAAAATTTAAATTGAATTAAAACTAGACTAAAAGGAGAAAAAAGACCCTTCCGCCTCATTAACATTACTGAACAGCAAAACTCACAAAGGCAACAAGCGGCAGCAGACGCTGCAGCAGCAGAAGCTGCAGCAGCAGACGCTGCAGCAGCAGAAGCTGCAGCAGCAGACGCTGCAGCAGCAGAAGCTGCAGCAGCAGACGCTGCAGCAGCAGACGCTGCAGCAGCAGAAGCTGCAGCAGCAGACGCTGCAGCAGCAGACGCTGCAGCAGCAGACGCTGCAGCAGCAGACGCTGCAGCAGCAGAAGCTGCAGCAGCAGACGCTGCAGCAGCAGAAGCTGCAGCAGCAGAAGCTGCAGCAGCAGACGCTGCAGCAGCAGACGCTGCAGCAGCAGACGCTGCAGCAGCAGACGCTGCAGCAGCAGACGCTGCAGCAGCAGACGCTGCAGCAGCAGACGCTGCAGCAGCAGACGCTGCAGCAGCAGACGCTGCAGCAGCAGACGCTGCAGCAGCAGACGCTGCAGCAGCAGACGCTGCAGCAGCAGACGCTGCTCCGCAGTCTTGCTGCTGCAGCTGCAATTCGAGATAATGCGAAGCAGAAAGAAACTAAAAACTAAAAGTAAATATTTTATTTTGAATCTAAAACACTTTATTTTATTTAAAAATGAAATAAATTGTTTACAAAGAAAACTTCCCCTAACTTTGTCCTTATAATAAATAAGAGCTCTGCAGTCTAGCAGCAAATTAGAACTCCTAGCTTTGCTTAATAGCCTTATATATATATATATACATATACATATATATATAATACTTTATATATAATTATATAAATAATGTATCTACAATATATATATTATATATTCATTATATATATAATTATATACAATGTAAATAATGTATATATATCTAATGTATGTATTCGATTTTATGCATATATATCTATATATCTATATATCTATATATATATATATGTATATGGGGCTATATATATATACCCACATACATATATATTATATATATGATATATAATACAAATATGGAGTATATACATATTATATATATGCATTAATATATATATAATATATATATAAGGCAGCAGCAAGACACCGTTGGGGAAGCAGCAGCAGCAAACGGGTAGTTGAGCAGCAGCAAAAGGGAAGCGAAGACTTGGCAGCAAACAGGCAGCAACAAAAAGAATATAATTTTGCATTAAATAATATACTTAATAAATGGCATCAATGGATTAAAAGAATATATTTAATAAATGGCATAAATGGATTAAAAGAATATATTTAATAAATGGCACAAATGGAGTAAAGAATATATTTAATAAATGGCATGAATGGATTAAAAGAATATACTAAAACTGGCATAACTTGACTAAAAGACTATATTTTAATAAATGGCATAAACTGAGTAAAATACTTAATAAATGGCATAACTACTAAAAGAAACCATTAATAAGTGGAATAAATGGACTAAAAGGAAATATTTAATAAATGGCATAAATTGAATAAAAGAAAGTTAAAATAAATGGTAAAGCAGCAATTCAAACAAATAAAGAACAAGACTAGACAAGCTGCGTCAGCTGCAGACGGCCCAGCTGCTGCAGCGCGGGCGTCAGCCGCTGCTGCAGGTACAGCAGCTGCTCCTCCTGCAAAAACAACAAAAAGTTTATTTTCAAAAATAGAAAAATGAAATTAAAAATGGAAAATAAAATAAAATTAAAATGAATAAATAAAAAGACGCAAAGATATGCAGCGGGCAGGCAGCCAGCCAAAAGACGCAGCAGCAGCAGCCGGGGGCAGCAAACTGAAACACCGGTCGAATTTAATAATTTAGAAAGCGTTTTAATTCTTTTTTATCTATTTTGATTCAAAAAAACAAATAAAACTGTTTTGAACTCACCTCAGAGCGGCAGCGCCGCCACTGCCAGTACTCGACGCTGACGGGCAGAAACCCTTGCAAGTTGAGGTGTCTGTACACCTCAGCAACAGCACAAGTTCAACTTTTGCAACTTTTGCATTTTCGGCTCAAATTCAGTTTGTTTGCTTCATTTTTGCTGCTTTTCTCTGTTTTCACGTTTAAATTTGAATTTTTGTTCAATTGAATGCAGAATTAAGCTCGTTTTCGACTAAGTTCGCCTTCTGAATTCAAGTTTCCGCTCCGATCGGCTGCAAGAAGGAACTCCTTGCCTGTGTTTGAGCGTGCAAGGCGCGTGTCTGTAGATCATGTCGACTTCGACAATTATTTTTGTTTCTTCATCATAAAAGTCCACTCGGTAGCCGCCGCAGCTGCTGCTGCGCTGCAGCTGCAGGCGGTAGGGGCCCCGCAGCAGCTCCAGGCATAAGGCCACTTCTGCATGCAGACCACTGGTCTCCTGCCGGTCCTGCAGCTGCCGCGCTGCAGCAGCAGCAGCAGCAGCAGCGCATGCAGCCGCAGCACTTGCTTCGGAACTCCGGGATGAATAAGTGAGAACTAAGGCGGATTTCGGACCCAAACAAACTGCTGCAGACGTCTAGAAGCTTTAATTTATCGCAACAAATGAGCAAAAAGAATTAAATTGCTTTTTAAACTTTTAATTTTAAATAAAATTAGATTAAAAATAAAATAAAAGTCCCACCTGCTTCTTCGCTGGCCGTCCGCCACGCCAAAGGCATTTGGCTGCTGCAGCTGCGCATTTCGAGTTCTGCTGTCTTTTGAACTTCTTGAATTTTCATCAGCAAATTTCTATTCAAAAAACAAATTCAAAAAGCTTTTAAATAAATAAATAAATAAATAAGTAAATAATAAATTAATCAATTGATTAAATTCACTTCCATTTATTCCCAACTTCCTTCTCCCTGCAAAGCCCCTCTGCGCCCAGAAAGGCCCCTGCGATTGATGCTCTAGGGTTTAGGGTTTAGGGTTTAGGGTTTAGGGTTTGGAGCTGCTGCGGGGCGCACCTGTCTCTGGTGACCGGCTTCGAGTATATTTCATTCAGCAGCCGCTGCAGCAAACTCGCCTTATCTGTCGCAGCAGCAGCAGAGAAGAAAAGGGTTTAGGGTTTAGGGTTTAGCGTTTGAGGATTCACTGGGAAGCAGATCAGATCTCCCTCGTCCCGTTTTGTCGTTTTGTTGCTGTTGCCGCTGCAGCTGCTGCTGCTGCTGCTGCTGCTGCTGCAGCTGCAGCTGCTGCTTACCTTGAAGCTGGAAGTAGCAAATTGCGTAGGCGGCCTCCACCAAGGCGGCGATGCCCAGCGTGGGGTGACGTGCTGCAGCAGCAGGAGCTGCAGCAGCAGCAGCAGCAGGAGCAGCAGCAGCAGCCGCTGCTCCTGGGAGCGCCTGCTCCACGTGCTGCAGCAGCTCCAGCAGCAAATCTAAAATGCCGCTGTGGGGGGGCCCCAAGTCGCAGAGCGCGAGGCCCCCCAGCAGCATGGCACTTCTATGGGGATTCCACCCTTGCTGCTGCTGCTGCTGCTGCTGCTGCTGCGTGCTGCAGTCGATGCGGAAGTGCTGCAGCAAAGTGTCGCAGTTCGCGGGGGTGAGGAAGCGCAGCCGCGCCAAACCCCGCAGCAGCAGCAGCAGCTGCTGCTGGTTGAACTTGTGCAGATTTTCGAAGGCCAAAGAACTCAACTGCCGCAGCAAAAAGCCCCGAGCCAGACTGCGCAAAACCCCAAACCCTAAACCCTAAACCCTAAACCCTAAACCCTAAACCCTCGACTGCAAAAGGAAGACATGCGGCAGGCGAAAGCAGCTTTCAGCGCTGCCAGCCGCCGCGCAAACCCCAAGCCCTAAACCCTAGCCCCCAAGCGCCAAACCCTAAACCCTAGCCCCCAAACCCCAAACCCCAAACCCTAAACCCTAAACCCTAAACCCTCGCGGACCCCATGGAGGCAAGGGCGTCGACAGCAGCAGTGACGTCTGCTGCAGTGAAGGAGTTGATTTCTTCGCTCATCCGCTGCAGCAGCAAATCGCAAGTGCTGCGGCTGTAGGCCCCCCAGCGGCGCATTGCATGCAGCAGCAGACACAAGTCCTGCGGCAGCAGCTGCTGCAGCTGCTGCTGCACCTCGCCCCACACAAACTGCTGCAGCACGGAGTCCCGCACTTGCAGCAGCGCGAGAGCAGCAGCAGCAGCACATAAGGCCCGCGGAGACAAACTGTCCCCGCGGCCCACAACCTCCCGGCCCAGCTGCGACGCCAGCTGCAGCAGCAGCAGCAGCAGCAGCAGCAGCATGAGCTGAAATGAAATGGGGTGAAAAAAAGTTAATTTAAATGGGTTTAAATGGAGTTGAATGAATTTAAATCAAATTGAAACGAATTAAAGTGAAATAAAGTCAATTCTAATCAATTTTAATCAATTTTAATCAACTTTAATCAATTTTAATGAATTTAAATGATTTAAAATGAATTTAAACGATTCAAAATGATTTAAAATGAATTAAAATGCTTTAAAATGATCAAAAATGAATTAAATGGATTAAATGAATTTACCTGCTGCGTGGCCAAATTGGAAATTCGGAGAAGTGCCAAAGAGCTGGCGATCTTCGACAGCAGCCGGCCATCTGCTTCTGGCAGCAAAAGTCCGATTTGCTGCAGCAGCTGCTGCAGCAGCTGCTGCTGCTGCGGGTCTTGCTGCAGCGCAGCAGCAGCAGCAGCGTCGCGGCTCGCCCGCGCCAGCTGCTGCAGCACCTGCTGCAGCGTGGGCAGGTCGTGTGCTGCGCTGCTGCAGGCGAACTGCAGCAGCTCTGCGGGCTGCTGCAGCAGCGCAGCAGCAACAGCGTGGTCCCCAGGAGCAGCAGGAACATTGTGCAGCAAACGCACTGCCCTCCTGCTGCTGCTGCTGCTGCTGCTGCTGAAGGCCAGGCACGCTCCCACTGCGGCCAGGCTGCCGTCGCCCGAAGGGAGCGTGGGCCGTGTCTTCGCCGTTGCTGCTGCTGCTGCTGCTGCTGTCGTTGCTGCTGCTGTTGCTGCTGCCGCTGCTGCTGCTGCTTCCAGGGGCCCCCGGGGACGCAGCTGCAGCAAGGGGGGCCCCCGGGGGCCCCAGCTGCGGCCCAGCGCCGCCTCAATGAGGGGCAGCATAGGGTGGGGAAATAAAGAAGAAGCTGCAGCAAAGTAGTTTAAGAAAAATGAAAGTTGTGTCCCAAACCCTAAACCCTAAACCCTAAACCCTAAACCCTAGACCCTGGGGGCCCCCTGGGCTCTCGGGAGCAGCGGGCGAGCTGCAAATGAGGCGAAGAGGAGTAGAAAAAGAGTTTTTATATTTTTATTTTAGTTTAAATTATTTAAAATTAAAAAGAGAAGTCGAAGACTGCGGAGTGGTGGGGCTGTACATACACCGCAGGCGCCGTTGCATGTCTTGACTCTGTTTTCTGGAAAACGGAAAAGAGGAAAAGTTGAATAAAAAAGGGAAATTAAAAACAAAAGAAAGTTTAAAGTGTTTTAAAATACTAATGAAATACTTTTGAGGCCTTACGAGCTCTTTTCGAAGCAGCTTTCCGAAAAGATCTTCTCTTCGAGCCCTTCTGCATTGCCGACTTGCAAACTTCGCCGCAGGCTCGCTGCTGAAAAAGAAGATAAATGCCATTTAATTGAAAAGAATTTTTAAAATTGATTCAATTTTCAGATTTGTAAAACTAAAAAGACCATTTCCCACGAGATCTCCCGCTTTCGCGCTCCGAGTCTCGAGTTCCTCGACCACGAACACAGATGATCCGAGGGGAAACTTCATTTAAATTGAAACTAGAAAGTGAAAAAGGAAAAAAGCAATATTTGAACAAATGAAAGAGAGGCCAAGGCATTTAAATCAGCCTGAAATGGCGCCTCCCGCTGGCCGCGTCGCGGGAACGAGTCCGCGGTTTCGCCGAAAAAGGCGAAGAAAAAGAAAATAAAACTGTTTTAGTGAAGCCAATAATGCTAAACTTTGCAATATTTAGAATTGTGGCTAAAGTTGAGGGCACAGCTGACGCCTCTGCCCGCAAAAACGAAGAAAAACGAAATTGAATTTGCAAAAAGCAGTTCCCCTCGTTGAACGCCGCCGCGCTGCGGTGTACGTACACCGCAGCGGTATTCGCAGCAAATTGAAATTCAAATGCAAAATACCCTCCCCGCATTCCATTTGCGAGCACTTTTCAATTATATTTATAATTAATTGATTTGGAATTGGGATATCCCACTTAAGACTTTTGCCGCGCCATTTCTCGAGTTTCGCTTCAGCTTGCGGTGTACGTACAGCTTGCGGTGTACGTACACCTCAGTTTAGCGCGAGATTTTCGGCGTCGGCGAGGAGAGCTTTGAGCTGGTCATTTGTTTCTTTTTCTCTTTCTTTTTGGTCTTTTGTTTCTTCTTTTTCTTTTAATATTTCGTGTCTCAATTTTAAACTTCGAATTCTTTTTCTGCGCTCGTCTTCGAGCTCCTGCGCCTTCTCCCAGTGCTGTTTGCAAATCAAAACGTCAAATTCGTCTTCGCCAGAATTCAAAGATGAAATAATAAAACTTGCATTTTCTTTTTCAACTTCTTCTCTTTCAAGTTTTCCTTTTTCAACTTTTTCTTTTTCATTTTTTTCTTTTTCAGCTTTTTCCTTTTTTACGAAACTTCCCCAAGACGCAGCCACGGCCCCCGCCACCAGCAGCCACCGCTCGAAGTCATTTGCTGCATTTTAAATCACAAATATTACTTAAATTAATTTAATTACTTAAATTAAATTAAATTAATTAAATTAATTGAATTAAATTAAATTAACTAAATTAAATTAAATCAGTTAAAATTACATTAATTAAATTAAATTAAATTAAAATTGAAAAAGATCTCCGCAGCGCCGCCGCGAGGCCCCCAGCAGCCAAAGATTCCGCAAAATGTAAATTACAAAAACTAAAAACTTGTTAAAAATTGGAATTTTAAAATATTAAAAAAAATAAAAGTGCAGCAGAAGAAGCAGCAGCGAAGCAGCAAAATGAGACTGCGGCGCAAACCCGAAGCAGCAGCCGCAGCAGCAGCAGCAGCAAGACTGAACTTTAACGTTGCTTCAAAAAGCCAAATAGACAAATTGCTCCATAACCAGCGGCAAACGCAATGGACAACTCAGCAAATAATTAAATAATATAATTAATTAGTTAATTAATTAAATCAATTTAACTAATTTAATTGATTTAATTAATTATTTATTTAATTAAATTAATTAACTAATTAATTAATTAATTAAACGCACAAGAAACGTCTTCGAACAATTGGCGTTTTCGCACGAAGTCCGAAACTGCTGTTTCGCTTAAACCCATTTCGAGGCGAAGAGCTCCGCGGCCTCCTCTTGCTGCAGCAACAAACTCTCTTGCTGCTGCAGCAGCAGCATCTGCGTCTCCGCTGCCGCTCACTTTGCTGCTGCTGCTGCTGCTGCTGCTGTCGCTGCTGCTGCTGTCGTTGCTGCTGCTGCTGCTGCCACTGCTGCTGCTGCTGCTGCTGCTGCTGCGTCTGGGCAAAAGGGGAACTTGAATTAGTTGATTAAAATGGGAAAAGGAATACTTGTGCGTCAGCAGCAGCACAGCGCAGTCGCAGCAAATTGAATGAACTGCAGCAACAAAGTCATAAGGCACAGCCCCCTCAGCAATCTGTGGCAAAGCGCAGACGCAGCAAACAAACAAAACAAAATTAATTGAAACAAATTAAAATTAATTACAATTAACTGAAATTAATTAAAATTAATTAAAGGTAATTAAAGTAAAATCAAATGCTGCAGCAATTCTTGCAATTGAACAGCCGTGGGTCCGCCAGGCGGCCGCTTTAGCTGCTGCTGCTGCTGCTGCAAGATTAGCCACGAAGTGAAATAAATTAAATTTAAAATAAGTTTGAAACACATTTAAATAAAATATTAAAAAAGGAGAAAATTCTATTCATTTAAAGGCCAAGGTTTGCATGCAAACAGCGGCAGCAGCAGCAGCAGCAGCAGCAGAGCCACAAACAACACCCACCAGCGTCTGCAGCGCACTGATGTTCTTTCCAATTTGCCGCCGCTGCTGCTCCTGCTGCTGCTCCTGCTGCTGCTCC